ATGTTGTTGCAAATGGTAGGATTTGTTTTCTTCTTATGGCTGAATAGTATTCCATTGTGTATATGTACCACATCTTCTTTATCCATTCATCTACTGATGGACACTTAGGTTGCTTCCATTTCGTGGATATTGTAAATAGTGCTGCAATAAATATTGGGGTGCATATGCACTAGCTACTTTTTAAGTTTGACTCAAGTTAAATAAAAGTTAAAATTCTGTTCCTCCATAGTAATAGGCTCAGTTCAAATACTCAGTTGCCACATGTAAACTAGTGACTGTAATACCAGGCAGTGCAGATGTAGGATGTCTCCACCATCACAGAAGGTTCTACTAGGCCATGCTGGCTTAAAGGAATCTTGACTGTTTTATACAGAACTGACATTTTCTTTTCTCTCTTTCTGTCTGATCAGCCCACTAGCAAAATAGTAGTAGGAGTATTAGCAGTTGCCATCCAGCTAATGGCTGTAAGGTTCATCTCATTTAACCACTCCAACAACTCCATGAACTAGGTATTATTATTAATCCCATTTTAGAGACGAATAAGCAGAGAATCAGAAAGCTTAAAAGTATCTGGAGTTACAGATTTTATAACCAGCAAAGCTGTAAGTTGAACCAATTCCACCCAGTCCATGGCCCGTGTTCTTAACCAGCATGCTACACTGACCTAAAGAGCCCATCAAGCAGGTAGATTCCAGGCTGAGCAAATTCATGGCGATAAGCCGGCTATTTCCCCTAGCCCTGGTTATCACTGACAGACTAGGAGTTGGGAATCTACCTACACTACTTCTGATTTTGCTCCTTGGGGAATGAAAGTAAAATAGCTCAACCTAGATATTCCCCCAAGGTCCTGTATTAAAAATATTCTAACCCTGCTCATCACACAGGATCCTTAAGTAAGTTTATGTTGATAAAACACTTCTAATGTATTATTTAAACAGATGTTAAAGGCTTTAAAATAAAAAAAAAAAAAGGATGATGAGAAAAGCATATTTCCAAGATAGGCCACCGAGTCTAGCTAATTGTACCCTGTAATTTTTGTAAACTGGCCTCATTCAGCAGGAGATGTTGGATGACTTGTTTTTTACCCTCTGGTTTAGTGTGACTAGTTTTTCCTGTCTTTATTTTAAAAGAGGAAGAATCTGGACTGAGCTTCAATCAAACGTAATCTCAAATCCCAGCTCTGATATGTGTTTCCTGTGGGACCTTGGGGAACTTAGATGACCTCTCTGGGCTCGGTTTTTGCATCTGGAAAATGGAGCTTTTAATGTCTGTTGAGATGAAATCAAAATAATTCTGTGTAAGCACCTGGTATCTTACAGACATTCAAGCAATATTAACCTCCTCTCTTAACTGCCGAGTCCCCATTTATGGTCATGTGATATCATAGGATCAGGAGCTTCAGAGCTGAGAGGGAGCTGACTGACATTTAAAGCAGCCCTCTCAACAGACAATTCCTCTGTTTATCACCATGTAGGTAAACTGTTGACTTGTAAAGTGTCTGTAATCAAGAACCACTCGCAGTGTGTTTTGGTGACATTTTAAAGAGGATAAAACAGAATGTTCCCTCTGACAATTGCAGGCCTCTTCAAGCAGAAGAATGGAAATGGCTTTGATGCAGGCCGCCAAGACTTTATGCAACTCAGCAGGGAGGGAGGTCTGGCTGTCCTTGAGTGGGCAGCCAGAGGGGCCACTCAGAGCCGTGGAGCTGGGGCCCTGGCTTCTGATTCATCCCAAATGACTGTCAGTGCCAGACTGGGGGTCAGGGGAAATTATGGAGCCAGGACTAGGAATCCTCAAAGCTGGAAACAGAAAAGAGGACCACACAGGGACCAGTCACGACGCCAAGGACCAAAATCAAAATGGGCCACAGAGTAAGCCGCAGTGCCTGAAGCTGGGGAAGATGCAGATCCCATAGTCAGAGTAAAACTGGGTAGGAGGGTTAAAAAGAGGCAGGCTGTCAGGAAGCAGGAGGGCATCGCTCAGAGGAAGGAAGAACAGAGGTGAGGCAGGGCTTGGCGGGAGATCTGGATTTTGGTGCTGAGTCAATCGCATCTCAGCCACGACCTCTCTCCATCTCAGAGGACGGGCAGCCTGTGGCATCTGGCTGAGATATCCTCCTCCTAAACCTATTCACATTCAAGGGCAGGGAGCCAGGAAAGCTTTGTGGCTAAGAAGTCAGCCTCTGGAGTCAGGACCAAGGGACTAGTTTAAATCCTGTGTTTAAATCTCAACTCCACCATCACTGGCTCTGCAACTTTAGGCCTAGTGATTTAACCTCTCTGAGCCTCACTTTCCTCATCCGATGATGACTGAGGGTTATGATGGTGGCAATGGGGGAGGTTGGTGATGCTGGGAACGGTGGTGGGATGCTGAGGAAGATCGTGGCGTGATGAGGTGATGATGTTAATGGCGAGAGAGCCGACGGTGGCAGTGATGGTGATGAGGAACATGGTGATAACTATGGTGATAACGCTGGTCATGCTGACAAGGAGAAGTGGACGGTGAGGACCGTGAGCATGATGGTGCTGGTGGTGGTGCTGGTGATGGCGATAAATGATGGTGAAATCAGAGCCTCCACTCCAGAATGGATGTGACGAGCGGGCTGGAACACTGTGACCTTGAGCAACTTAGCTTCTGTCTCATTCATGTCATCAGTAAAATGGCGACTGATATTCATACCTACCTCATAGGCTTGTCACAAGCATTAAACTAACTAAAACACACATAAAGTGCTTGATACACAGTAAGTGCTTGACAAACACTAGGTATCATAGTACGATCTTTTTCGTTGCTCTGTTCCCCTTATTTTCAGAATCATTTCTGTTTATCCCGGGCCGGTATCATTGGTCTCAGTTCCGGTGGTCTCGTCCGCTCTGGAATGACCGATGGTCCGGTCCCACGGGGCTTGTCTTCTTCCTCAGCCCTCCTAGCTCGTGGGCAGTGAGTTCCCAGGGGTTCTTCGGGGAGACGGGCCTCCTGTGTCCCTGGCCTGTGAAACGGGGGAGGGGAGGGAGGAGAAAGACCTGGGTGGTGACCATCCGGAAGCCGTGTCCCCAAAGAGGGGTGTGTGCCGGCCACCAGCGCCAGCTGGGATGGGCTCCCCTTCATGCCTGACCAGCGGCTACCTTCTCATAACGGGCACAGGCGATCCTGTGATGTGGCAGGCTGGACGCTCGAAGCTCTCGGGCCCCGAGGGGAGTCATGTGCGTGAACCACAGAGGTTCTGTCTGGACTCAGGACTTCCAGCCCGGGGCAGCCAGCCGGTCACTCCTAACGCTGCGCTCTCCTCACCTCCCTGCCTTGCCTTTCAGAGGTCTGGACGGAATTCAGTCACAGAAACCACTGCCCCTCGGCGTGGAGAATGACCGAGTCTTCAATGACCTGTGGGGGAAGGGCAATGTGCCTGTCGTCCTCAACAACCCATATTCAGAGAAGGAGCAGGTAAGGGGGTGGCGCCAGCCTGGCACCCACATTCCAGGGCTTCCTGAACCTTCTCCAGTGTGACGATGGAGGGAAGGAAGCCAGATCCCAGGCCACGTTGGGATGGAAATGAGCCACCACGGCTGGAGAGCTCAGGGGGCTGAGGCCAGCAGTGTTCACCCTGGGATATGGATTTTGGCTTTGTTTTGTTTTGTTTTCTTTGTGAGCTTGCCATGTTTCAAATCTTAATTCTCTTTCTACCAGGAAAGGCATTCACATGGTTCCAAATTTTAAAAACTATAAAAGATGCATGTTGACAAGTTTTTCTTTCTCCTCTACTCCAACCGCAGTTTCCCTCCCCAGTGGCAAGTGGTAGTCATCGTTTTTATGGTCCTTTTAGCAATATTTTATGCATAGACCTAAGTACACACACATTATTTTCACATATTTTTACACAAACAAGAGTACATTATACATATTGTTTTATACCTTGCTCTTTCACTTATCAACATATCTTGGTAACTAGCACCAATCAGTAGGTAAAAAGAGTTGTGGTTCTATTTTCAAACCATCGTTTTCAAGCCACTCCTCCCTAAGGGACACCTAGGTCTTCATCAGTATTTTGCTGTGACATGGATGTAACGAATGACATTGTATAAATACCTCATTTGGCACATGGGCAGGCTTGTCAGTAGAATAAATTCCTAGAAGTGGAATTACTGTGCCAGAGGTCATGTGCATTTGTGATTCTGGCTGAAACTGAGAAGCTGCTCACCGTAAAGACTGTACCTGGCCTACTGGGTAAGTAGGAGAGTGACTGTTTCCCCACAGCCTTGCCAACTCAGTGTATGAACCATCTTTCCAGTCTTTGTGAGGTTGCTGAGATGTGTTTTGCCAGCCGAGTCAACCGAGTTTCCCACGAGTAGCTAGATTTGGCCAGAGATCAGCGCTGCCTTTTTCTCACCTGGGTTGCTAAGGGACCAGATCAAAGCAACCCAGCTGAAGCATGTGAACTTCCCACCCATCTTCTGCACTGCAGTGAAATGCAGGAGGAGTGACCAGAGGGAGGTCAGAACAGGGTCACTCAGCAGGCCATCTTCCTTCCCTCCAGCTGCTCCAAGCCTTGGATGGCACACATCAAGGCTTCCACATTCTATCTTCTGATGCATGATCAATGGTTGGCATTTTTCACCACCATCTCATTTAAGCAATGACTCAAATCCTCTCTGCATAGCTTTCTGGGGAGATGGGGCATTTCAGAGCTTCAGTGGGGGTTGCTTTCCTTACGTGCTGATAGCTGGCCAGGAAGATAAGGACACCAGGGATTCTGCGGTAGGTTAGATTCATGTTCCCACTGGCCAATTGCTGTCCTTATAGTGACATCTGGGACTGTTTGGAGAATGAGCACAACTGTGGACTTCTCTTATGCTGTCCTCAAAAATCAAGGCCACCCTGGGAGCATGAGGGCACGATTATCCATTAATGATTAAGTGAACAAATAAAGTTAAAATTTTTCTGTCTGCTCTCTCTTAACTAAAAAGAGATGTTGCCATAATTCAAACCCTCCCAAGACAAAGAAAGAGGCATCCTCAGGCCAGATCAAGACAAGATTTATTAGGTCTACACCATATTGTCCTAAGAGACAATTTATATTTGTGCTTTACATTTATTGTCAGTATTTCAAATTTTTATGTAAATATCCTGTTTATAGTTTCTTTTAAAAATGTGACGGTCTGATGACCTTGAGTCTATAAACTTACAGGACAATAATCTGCATGGACTGAGTAGTAGCTGCCCCCTGCAGACAGAGCATAGGCTGTCCAGTTTGCCACAGTCCCCACCACTCCCTATTATCCTCTCATTAAGGCTAGTGTTTATTATCACTTCTTAAAACATTAGTCTGTTGATTTTCTTATAATAGTTGGGATTAAAGTGAAATCTTTTTGTATCCATGTCTTTATTATAAGTGACAGATAGAGATAGACCAAGAGGTTCATATGTTTCAGGAAAAATGAGAAAGATTTCATAGGTTATTTAAAAATGAAAAATATTCTTATGTGTTTAATATGTAACCACGTATTCTGTCTTGAAATTACTCAGCCTTTACTAATGTACCTTACCTGCCTACCTGTCCCCTCCAAGTATCAGAGTTTGTAATTGCTGGTTTGCAGCAACCACTGAGATCCGGGTTACTGGGAAGATAAAGAGGAGGCCTCGGCTTCACCAGAAAGACCCTGCAAGTCACTGCCAAAATCCAAGCAGAGGCAGGACCATGGCCACTTCCTTTCGTGCCATGCACCTAGGTTAGACAGTGACAGCTGGGGAAACGTAACCTTGCAATTTAAGCCAAGAATGGGGCTCAGTATTGGGAACAGGTGATTAACAGACCCACTGGCCTTCTTTTCAGAGCCTCATGATGAAGTGATTAATGTGTTAGTTTGTGCAGGCTGCCATCGCAGAGTATCATAGACTGCACGGCTTATAAACAACAAAGACTTATTTCTCACAGTTACGGAGGTTGGAAGTCCAAGGTCACAGAACCAGCAGATTCGGGGTCTGATGACGGCCCACTTCCTGGTTCATAGACAGAGTGTTCTGGTCATGTCCTCACATGGCAAGAGGGGCAAGGGAGCTCTCTGGGGTCTCTTTTATAAGGGCACTTATTCAGTTTATAAGGGCTCCAGCCTCATGACCTCACCACCTCCCAAAGGCCCACCTCCTAACACCCTCACACTGGGGGTTAGGCTTCATCATCTGAGTTTGGGGGGACACAAACATTCAGTCTACAGCAATCAGGGAGCAGTGTTGAGAACTTGCCTAGGGTCCCTTCTAAAATGCCACGTCCTTGGAGAGGAGAAAGGGTGCTAGACATAGGGGGGAAAGAGTCTTCTTGGGGTTAAGATGGCCAAACAGTTTTAGACTTGGGAGTTCCTGGAAACATGGCATATAGACCAGCCATGTTTGGGATTCACATTCACTCCTTTAGCATCAACAAATCCTCAGCGTAGTCCATAACCCAGAAAAGGCTAAAAACCACTGGCCTGCAAAGATCCTCCTTGCTCTGTTGTCTGAGACTCGGTTTTCCAAATAGAATAGAAGCCTTGGAAATAGAGCTGAAAGGAGGCAGAGACCTGAATGCTCAGCTATATTTGAGTCCCAACCCCAGAGCTAAGGAAGCAGTTCTGTTACTTCCTGCTAGACATCTCCATAGCCACGGTGCTCAGAAGTGTTTCCCAGGCTGAGCAAATTAATAGAAAACACTATGTTCTTCCCGTCCTGAAAGATGGGCTCCTATGCTTAGCTTCTTCTGTACCTGCTCAAAGCCACTTTACCTGCAGCTTTTGGAATCAGCTCCTTCCTCCCAGTTGTAACCCACATTTCCTGCATTTTTAGGCATCTGTTGGGGGTTAGCTTTGTTAATAACACAGAGACCCAGCCATTTACCCGCTTTCCTCATTCAGGAAGAGACAAAAGGAGGTGGAAGAGCAATTGTCTGCATTTTCCCAAGGTCTGGGCAGGACACAACAAACCCAAGTGAAGCAGGGCAGATGCAGGCTAGACAAAAGAAGGAACTTCCTGATTCAGAGACTGTTAGCTCCCTGAAGGAATAGTGAGGTCTCCTCTATCCTCCTTGATGCCCTCCTTTGTCCAATTTCAAGGCAAATCAGCCAGAGAGGCACTCCCTCTTTTTTTTCCTTTAAGTTGTCATTGATACACAATCTTATAACAGTTTCACATGAGCAACATTGTGGTTACAACATTCACCTATATTATCAAGTCCCCCACACACACCCCATTACAGTCATTGTCCATCAGCTTAGTAAGATGCTATAGAGTCACTGCTTGGCTTCTCCAGAAATACCTCCTCTTAAATCATTCTCAGGAGGCTGAGACCTTAATCCCTAGCTAGTAGTCATTTCTCTTGATAATAGTCTCGTTCAGCCAGTGAGGGGCCAGTGAGACTCAAGTCCCAGATCAGTAGAACACAGCACATGAATGACTTCCTAAAGCTCATCTTTAGCATCCCCTTGCATATTGTACCTGGCCTGTGGGTAGAATGGATCTGCTCACTCATCACCAAACATTCACCCAATCCCTGCCATGTGCATAGCTCTGGGGTGGAAGCAGAGATGAGCAAACGTGTCCTCCCTGTTCCTTGAGAACTTCGTGAATGAATGTGGGGAGACAGACACAGATACACTGCAATTAATCCTAAAATAGAGAGGGACACAGAACACTGTGAGAATATAAATACTTCAGTAGCTATCAGAAAAGTTTTACTGAACAGGTGACATTTGACTTGGGTTTTGAAGATCACATAGGAGTTTGCCTAGAAGAAAGTGGAGAAAGGCATTATAGTGAAAAAAATGGCTATGACTATTTGCATTTTTTTTCTTACTAAGGCTCACTATGGGATCTCTGAGGTTGTCTTTAGTGCTAATACCACCTGGGACACATATTGAGCTTTGATACCATTCTGAAGGCCCTTTTTAAAAAATCCTCGTAGGTGACAATGCTTAGATAAATGACATGAGGAACTGCTGCTTATCCTATTAAAAAGAGAAAATTCAACCAAGTAAATTTGAAGATCTAATTGGCTTTGTTAAGCGATTCATGAATTGGGCAGCTTCCTCTCTAGCAACCAGAGAGTGCTTTGTTGAATGGCAGAAAAGGAAAGGTTTTCAAAGATATAGAGAGACTGTAGAAAAGGAAATTATTGGCAGAGAATCCATTATTTTAGGCAAGGTTGCCCTCCAAAGGGTAACAGAAAGAGTCTAGCAGTAAATTTCCTAGTGCTAACTGATTGATTCTTACATTTGGGGGCTGGAGGGGCTGGTACTGCAGTTAGATTAGGTATTAAGTCTTGGTTTACTGGCCAGGCCATTAGTGTGAGTGACTCCATCTTTGGGCCTGTGGCTCTCTCTTTAACATTCGTTCTCCCTGAAAAACCTTAGGATTTGAATCAAGCCCTTCTTGGTTTCCATTCTTATTAAGTAACTACTTTCCTACCTGCCTGATTT